TTGAAACAAGTTGAAGTGAATACATTACATGGAATAGGATAGAACAGTACGCTACTGTCTTTAGAGATATATTTAATGAAGTATTCCAATACATGGATTTTATACGATGGTAAGTTTATATTTTAGTTGATTTTTTTTGTAAGTTTGCTTTATTTTAGTAAGTAGATTTTCTGTAATATTAGCTCTTTGATTCAGCATAAACAATCAAAATGCCCCCCTCCACAACCTGTCATCATTAAAATTGAAACAAAGTAAAACGTTTGGTAAAATTAATTAATCAAATGGAGTAACATTGAATAGTAAAGAAATAATAAGGCCAGGGGGCAATAACTGAGTTTGCAATTTAATAATAAATAAAAATAACATGAAACAAAAATGCCTTTCAAATATAATGTTGTATAACAAATATTTTGTTTACCTTATCATAAGCCTATACAGTTGTTCTCTTTTCTTGACAATATTCTTGTCCTCTGGTTCTTTCTCCGTGTCTTTCATAATAATATCTTCTGATAATTCCGGTATTTTGGAAGGATAAAAGAGAACACGTGAAGAAGAAAAACGGTATATCACCAGTATAAACAATGTCGACCCGCTTGGTGGTAAGGAGGTTACATATTCAGGTGATAGCAGCTGTTAAAAGCTACTCTTTTGGCTTACAAATGTCACGAGAGTTTTTCAACTTTTAACGTTTTTTTAAGTGTTATCATATTGAGCAGGGATCGAAAATGAACATAACCTTCGTTATAAATGAACTGATGCACACCTTCGCAATGAAGATCGGTCATTTTTGACAGATACCAGTTGTAGTAAAAGTAGAAAGTGTTCAACGCTCCAACAGGCACGTACAGCGAACTAACAGTACCAAGTTGTTTTATGTCAATTCCTGTGGGCCATTGGCTTTCCTCCTGTTGGTCTACGATTTTACAAATACATTTAACTTCTGTTGTCCAGTGTTGATTTTGGACAAAATTTCAAAAAGAGAAAGTTTGTTTACATTGACCTATTCATAAATAAGTGAATTTTAAAAAATACATATTCATTAGCATAGTGAGATTTGATTTATCTACGTTCAGTTTAATAATGATAATTGCTATCAAAGATCTGGTATCAACTTCATTCAATTACATTACTAGAATTTCATTCATGGAACATCAGCTATTACAGTTCTGAAAAGCTGACATCAAACATGCATGAATTATTTACTCAAGTTTTAAACAAAAAGGATCTGTCGAAGGTACGAAATATCTTACATTTGCTTTATCGGCTGATTCCTTTGTTGTGAAATCAATCATATCTGTTGTGTGAATTTCAGGCTGGAGACCTGTTTTCTGTCGCTGATCAGGCAATTGTAAGTGACCTAACTGAAGTTGTTAATAAAATTGCTGAAATTACTAGTCTTCCTGACTACATCAATAATGACAATGATCAGAGTGTTGTCGAAATTTGTATCACAAGAGTAACATCATGTATCAGGTATGCTCATGGAGAAAATTTCATGATTTATATCTAAGAATGTCTTCATATTACATACAAATTAATATTTATTTAAAAAATATATTTTCAAATGATTTTTGATATTGTTATGATCACTATTTTTTTTTATTGAATAGATTACTTTGAGTACTGAACAAAGTTCAAGTTTAAGATACCTTTTGTCTGTATTTATCACTGATAAGAGAATGGCTTTTTTTTTATCGAAACAATGCTTACGTTTATTGCATGATTTATACCGACTGCTTTTTTTTTTTCTGATCCCCCATTTCGTTTTTCAACAATCACATATATAAGTAAATTCAACATAATATACTTATATATTTTTGTTAAGCTTTTTCCGTGCAATGCCTTATGGCATTTTACATACTAATAGAACACTGAATTAATTTTTTACTAATTAGAAAAATCATTTCTATGGCATTGTACCATTAATCAAGGAGTATTTTTTCAAAACTCAATGAATCCACTTTTGAAAATTATTATGTGTGCTTCTCGTGTAGAATAATCAAATTTGTATGCATAATGTTTACACACTTATTTGACAGAAGGTAATTGATGTTGGAAATAATCTGAACGACTCTTGGATGCAGAATTTTAACTTTTCCAAAACAAAAACCTTTATTCATGTTAATTGGATGTATTAACTTTTAATAAGAATACTCCTCAATAGTATCGTTAGATATATTCTTTGTGTCATGATTTTCTAACTAAATGTTAGTAATTTGACTTCGGTTGCTTTCACTAATTAATTTATTGATTTCCTAAACTTTTTTTTTCGTCAGTATATATAAGTTGAGTGATATTCTGAGGGGGGGGGGCTATAATAATTTTCAAAATTATGATTGTATAATCTTTTGTGGGGAGAGGTGTATCTCAGTGTACTGAGCTACCAATGCTAAAGGCCCCAGGTTCGAATCCCGGCTCATGGCAGAAAATTTATTTCTTCTGTTCCATTGGCAGTGGGGCGACCCTTGGTCGGGAGACCCTCCTGGGGTATACCCAGCCTCTATAAAGTGGGTACCCTTAGTTAAATAAATAATTAAGGGGGAAAACGTAGTGGTTGAGCGTGATCTCAGTCAAATCACCTCCTTGCACAACCGTTGACTAAGAAACAGTGCTTTCCCTAAATAGTACTGAACCCCAAGACCCTTCATAGGTTGTAGTGGTACAGGTTTTTTTTTTTTTATAATGTATTTTATTCATTGTGTCAATATTCATGCTCTTTTTAATAGTTTTAAGATTCATCCATTGTTTTCTGACCTATTTTATTGTTATTTTTTTTTTTTAGGTTCTGATGTTGTTAATAATAAAAATAAAATTATTATTCACCCCCTATTGGCTTTGCTAGTTTACTTTAGAAAATATCATGATTTGTTATAATCCAAATTAATCTAAGAACTTTTACTTAGGTTCAACACAATATTTGGATTTTAAATAGAAAATTACAATACGCACACAAAGGCCTGACTAAACACACTAAAACAATGACTTTTCAATGCTCTTGTTTTGAAAAAAAAAAAAAAAAAAAAAAAAAAAAAGAGATCTGCTACACTTTGATAAAAAATTTCCAACATATTCGAATAATTTGATCTTTTGAATGAACAAACCCATTTACAAGGTTACCTTTCTTGATCAGATTGAGTTTCTTCAAGAGTTAGATCAAGAAATTTAATTAGGAAATCAGTCTTTAAGATGAATCATTCATTTAGAAATCCATTTCACAAATAAATATAATAAAAAAAATTACTTGTGGAACTGTAACTTTTATTTAGTATTTACTTTTTTTTTTCTCCTCTTCCTCACTTTTTAGGCTATACAGGGCTTTCCTGGGCGACGGACGGGGTATTAATGCTAGAGTTAAAAGCACCACTCCCTCTCCTCCCCCTACTCACCACCCTCCCGACACCGGCACGCGAACTCATAATTATTTTCTCTAAACTTTGTTTATCAGATTACAAGGCAACAAAGGGTGCATTGCACACGTGTTTACTCTCTCAGCCATCCCGCCCCTGATTTATTTTCTCTTTTCTTTTTGTCCTCGCTATTTAGGCTATACAGGGTTTTTCTGGGGCAGGGGGTGAGGATGGGAGATGAATACCAGAGTTAAAAGCTTCCCTCTCCAGGCACCAGGATGCAAACTCGTAATTATCTTTGATCTGGGTTGACAGGCAACTAGCGGTGCTGTGCACATGCATTATCCCGCTCGGCTACCCCATCCCAGTTGGTGTTTACTATTTTAGTAAAGGAGTATCGTTTAAGTAGTTTTATTTCTTAACTAATAATGACACCAGATGTGTTCAGTATTCATGCTGTATCTCCCTTTCATTCGGTTTTATAAATTTCCCCAAACATTTCGGAGGAAAACAGGTTCATTAATAGTCTTCTGCTATACTGTAAAAAAGGACCAAGTACTAATGCAGTCAGTATGGAAATCTGTGCTGGTTGAAGATGAAAATATAATGTATGGTACACAGTTACGTTTTGGTTCAGACAATTCAATTTTGGGGACAAAAGCTTTTCACAAGAGCCAATAGTCTGATCATACCTCAAAGGTAAATGATGCGAGTGACTTGAGTTTGTCAGACAGTATCTGTGATAATCTAAGGATTAACTGGTTTTTAAATTTTAGCTACTTCTTTTACTTATAAATCTCCCAATTTATTACTTGCACAGTATCTTACACTATTATTAATTTTTAATTTTACTTTCAGAGAAACTGGTTCAATAGAGCAACATGCAGAAGCTCTTGTTGGCTTACTTGAATCTTGTTTGAATCATAATCTAAAACCGTCAGCTAAAGATGAAGACCCTCCCCATTCTAAAATATCTTCTGATATAATTTCTTGTCTTTTTTTAGTAAGTATTATTTTAAACAAAATTAGTTTACTGTATTTGATTTTTTCTTTTCAACTTCACATAACTTTTATGATATTTTTTCAGAATTACAGTAAGAAAGATGTAATGAAAAGGGCTTTGCCTGTTGCGGTAAAGTTCTTACACAAAGGTAACAAAGAACTTTCTCGCAACATGGCTTCATATTTAAGTTTAGCTGCCATAGACAATGCTGATTTACTGTTGAAACATATTCAGTTAATAATTGATTCTATCATATCTGGTAAGATAAATTTTTCATAAATTATATAGTTTGATATAATCAGTAAAATAGCCACAGTTAATTATTAGTTTCTTATACCTTATTTTTTTCTTCAGGAAATTACCCATTATGTAGAGTTCTTCCACAAATCTACGAAGTCAGTAAGGAACCTATTCACGATCATGTAATGGCTCTAGTTTCATTGCTTCCATTGTGTGAACATTCTGAAAGGCTTGCGCTGTTGCAACTGTTCAGTCTTATAGCCGGAAATAAACCTTTAGTAAGTTTTGGGTATTTTTACTTTCACTTTATTTTTTTTAAATGAATGCCATACATGTGGTATATATGTACTTGGGGAAGAACAGAGAGCCTGGATGGGACACCTTACCTCAAGTTGCTGAAGACCAACAGGGCAGAAGCAGACTACCCATAGCTTCATAGCCGATTACTTTGGGACCAATCTGATAGGTAGTGACCTTACTGACTCGGGTGAAGTGACAAATCAGTTTAGCTCCATAGATTAGATATTTTCACTTAGCTATTTAATCGCAAGTTCCCATCCTCATTTCAGTGGGCTTTTAACTCTAGCATTAATCCCTTGGTCTGGGAAAAACCTCACATAGCTAAAAAGGCGAGAAAGAGGAGGACAAAAAAAAAACTTCAGCCTCATCTCTAGTCCAGCAGATAACCAAACAATACATCTCTGTACAGCTAGCAAATATAATATAAATAGGAGAAAACAAGAATGATACTAAGAGCTACTGGTTTATTGAGGAATTGAATCATAAGAATTATTTAAAGACAGTTTAATGTGATTTGAGAAATATATTTACTACAGAAGTTCTGATCAAAGGTAATTCTGAAGTGTTTTTTTTTCAGTCAAACAAAATAAATGAATCGATTATTTACATAGAGTTGGGCATAGTAACGGAGGGAATTAAGGAGTTAATGGAACCGATGATGATGTCCTTAGTTTTTTTCTTTATTTTGCCTCATTTCATTCTTTAATGCCCATCCATTAATACTATTGATATCTTTCAAGTAGCTTTTGGATCGTCTTAAGCATCTCGACAGGATAGAACTTTTTAAAAAATAATAGTTTATTTCTTTTAAATAATATGGCCTCTTTATTATAAATATTTTCATGATTCATATTGGATCCAAGTTTTTAAACTCTTAATTTTCTTTCAGCTTCTGGAACCCAGTCTTCCACAACTTTGTGAATACTTGACAATTGGTGCAACAGCGAATCCCACACTTGAAGTTCTCTTGAGACTAGCTGAAAAAAGTCCTCACTTACTTGCAGATTGTGTCGGAAGAGTAAAACAAGCTGCAGAAACCCATCCTAGTACCCTCTGTTTAGCCGCTCAAGTGATTGCTGCTGTTGGGAAACTGAATAAGGTATATCATCTTGTAAAACTTATTTGATTGATTAATGACATGAGTTTCTTCAATAAGCATTTTTCTTCCCTCTGGAGATTCCAGATTTTTTTTTTCCTCCCAGGAATATTCTAAAATTAATCTGAAAATCTGATATAATATATTTCCTTGTTAATAATAAAACACTGAAAATTAAAATCAGACAGACCTTGGGTAAAAACGTTTTTTAAAATACATTGTCAATAATGAAAGAAAATTGTATGGAACTTTAGACACGATTATATTTTATATTTATTATTGTGACTGAAATTTCTGACGATTTTCTTTCATTCTTATAATTAATCAGTCCACTATTTACTCATCTTTGTATTTTGGAGATGGGTAAGTAGTGGACTATTGAATTATAAGAATGAAACAAAGTTCTCAGGAATTTCTTTAATCAGTTATCAAACTACATTTCTTCATCGAGAGATCGAGAGTTCTTGTCTCGACTTCCAAACCATAGTCCTGATTATGACTCACATGTTTGGGTCGAAACGTTCGACTAACTGATTAAAGAAATTTTGACTAAAATTCCTGGCAATTTTGTTTCATCCTTAAAATAACTGGTATTTTGTATTTTTAAAATACAATTTTAATCTCCAAATATTTAAATTGTTTTTAGAAAAACTTTTATGTATTTGAAATTTAAGTGCTTATTAAATTAAATAACTAAGTGGAGTAATTTAAAATTTATTATTAATTTAAATACTAATTCTTTAAAATTGTATTTTAGGAAAACAAAATATTTTGTATTTTTTTTTTTTTTTTATTTTTTTTTTATATTTGTTTATTTAGAAATATTACATTCTGTCACATCAAGGACATTTATAATAGTGTTCAGAGAAAGCACACTCACACTCTATTTACAATAAAAAAAAAATAAATAATACAGAAACTTAATAATAATAAATACAATAAAATAAAATAAAAATAAATACAATAAAATAAAATAAATGTATATAAACAAAAGAACTAACCTAATCATACACACTCGGGCTTGAGTGGAGGATCTGGCCATTGCCAAAACTCCAATAGATGCTTATTTACAAAAGGTCTCTGGGCCACTGCCGCTTCAACCTTCGAGGAGGATTGTAAGGATGGGTGGTGCTGGATAGAGATTGTGCAAGGGGATTTGGATGATAGGTAAGGTTCTGGTGAAATTTATTTTGTATTTTAAATAATATATTTTACAATATATTTAATATTTAAAATATATTGTGAATTTTAGTATTGTCTTGTATAAGACCCTCTATAGAAAGACAATATGCACCTCATAACTAAACTAAACATTTTCACACTTCAACTTCTCTGTACCCTGAGGCTTCTGAAAAAAAGATGGTCCCGTGATCTCCTAATGTAGACATATCATTAGAGTGCTACCATTTGGTAGTTTATCAACAAGTGTTTTTACGTCATTATATCCACGTCATATACGTCATAATGTATTTCTTTAATACATTTGTAAATATCATTAAGAAATTTAAAAAAATAATAATAAAATAACTTCTCTATCAATCAAAAAAAGCAACTCAATAAAACAAAGAGTCGTCATGCTCTTTACTGTAATTTCATTTGGGCAAGGTCAGTTCAATGTTGACTAATTGAAGTGTTTTTGGATTTGGATTAAAATATCTACAAAACTAAAAGTCGAATCAACATATTTTTAACGAGGGAAATGTTCAGTATTTTATCCACTTTGTAATGAGCTACTATTCAAAATCGTATCAATGCAATATTGTGTTAGAGAGGCTAAAAAGGAATAAGATGGTGTCGAAAACCAAATGATAATGACTTTAGTTAAGCATATGGATTAAAATATCTCAAAATTAATAAAAAATTAAAATTTGGATCTACATTATGTAAGTGAGGGAAAATTTCAGTATTTCGTCCTCTTTGTTTTGAGCTGTAAATCAAAATTGTATTTGGACGTGATGCCAAGGTAGTGAGTGAGTGGGAAAGGAAAAAATTTAACACCAAAAAAAAACAAATATCAATGACTGTTTTGAACATTTGGACAAAATATTTCAAAATTTAAATACCATAGAGAATTCTAAAACCAATCTGAGAAAGTCAATATAGACCTTTTTTTTTTAATTGGCCACAAAAATAAGAAATTATGTCAAGAAACTATTCGATTTTGTGTTGCACTCGATAGAGTTTCGACAAATTACTGACCCCCGTTACAGAAGTTATATTTAAAAAAATATGGAGTTTTTATTAGATATTTAGCAAACAAATTTCAATCAAAAGTATTCATGACATATTTTAGCTATCATAAACCTATTGTATCATGTTTAGAGTATGATAAAAATCACGATTAGTCAGAGCAAAGTTTACTAGAGTAATTCATACACAATTATAATTTTGTATATTGTAAATGTTATTTCTTTGTGAATATAGAACAAACAAAATAGTTTATACACAACTACAATTGTATATATTGTAAATGGTGTTATTTTCTGAATATAGAATAAACAAATATGAACATTTCATATTATTAATCTCGCCTTGTTGATGTTTTCACTTCTTTCGTGTGATCTAAAGCACACACCATAGTTTCTTGTTTTGTTTTTTTGTTATTATGATGTATTGGTTCACCGTTCTTCATCTGTGTTCTTTATATATTTTTGGTTTTTTAATGTTTTTTTTTTTTAATATAAAGTAACAAAAATAAACATAAATTAATTGTTAAGATATAATTGGAAAATTCAAAAACATAGTCATAAGTAAAGTATGGTCCCTATTTATTTGTTTTCTGAACTGTTCTACTATATTTCTGAACAGAGAGTAGACAATTAACTTTATTTTTTCTGTACGCTTTAGTTATTCTTATGTGACTAATAAAAAATTGTAATTGTTTTTAGTATGAAAAAAAATAGAAAATTACGATATTTCTATATAAATGTATCCAATTTATTTTCAAGGGAGCTAAGTGTATTGATATAATTAATAATAACTTGTGTTTAATTCTATAGGATCGTGCGCAGGAAGCATTGAATTTTGTGTTGGAACATTTAGGCAAAGCTGAGAGGGGCAGCCAAGGCACTCTGTTGAGGGAAGCAACCGCTCTCTGTTCTAGTTACCCAGTTTTGTTCACTGAAAAAATGTTAGCCGAAGTTAGGAAAAATAAGAACAACAATTCAAAGTAATTTCCATTTCTTTAGAAAAATATATATATATATATATATTTAATTTAAATCCTAATTACTATTTCTTTTTTTAAAATTTAGTTCTCAAGTAAATCAGACGGGTGGTGTGACGATTGTCAAAGTTGGTGGCCAAGTGACAAACAGCAATACTCACAACAATAATAATAATCCTAATGTAAACAATAATAATCTCTTTCAGCCAAAATCAGCTGCTACAAATAACAGGTGTTTATTGTGATAATTGCTTAGGTGGTTGTAGTTACTAATTTTCATAATATTGAGCTCATATAAAAATAATTTGATTCTAGGCAATTCGATTCCAGGCAGCAGGAAACTAGTTTGAACCGTAGCGAAGGCAGTCGGGTTTTGATAACCCCTAGAGCAAGATTGGGAGGCGAAAGTAGAAGTACATCCAGGCTCCATTCTTCTGCTGCTCATAGAAGTATGACGCGTCTGAATATGGGTGCTCTTCTTCCTCCTGCCTGTCAGTCTATTGATTTATTTTAAAATGTTATCTTAGATTTTAATTTTAATTTTTATTTTGTGTTTTAATTAATTTATAGCTAGTGGAAGTGGGAGTGGCCTTCATAAAAGTATGACGAGACTTTCATCAACCAATAACAGTGTTACCACCATAACTAGCCAACCACGAGGGAAAGTAACTTGCGGAGGCGTCACAGTTACCACTACGAACAATAGTCCTACCACGTAAGTAGAACTTAAGTAATAGTGTCTGTGTGTTTTTAACATCTTAGTTAAAAAAACATTTTTAATATAAAGTAGTTCACCATATGAGTTTATATGAAACTGTAAAAAAATGTAAATATTTTTCTTTTTATAAGTTAACTGAATATTGTTCCCTTAAAAATACTTCCTCTGAGAAACAATACACTTGCACAAGCTGCATCGAGCCATTTGGCTTGGCTTGTTCAAATGTTTATTTTTCGTGAGCTGTTAAGGAGCTTTCTCTTGTTGAAGAAAGCGAATATCTTGCAAAATTATGTAAAGATGGCCACAAAATTCATCCTAAAACAGGGTAAACAATCAAGCTGGAGGGGAGAAACAAAGATGAAACTACTTGTGTTTTTTTTTCAATACTTAAGAAATTCTCCTCCGAATCAATATATATTTATATATTTCCACCAAGGAGTTTATTATACAAGTATATTCTCTCAGAATGGATTGCTTCATTTCTGTTATTCACTTGTTTTTTTTTAAATTAAATTATTGTTCATATGAAATTATTTTAAACTTAAAACCAACTAAAGAACGCAAATTATTACACAAGGGTTTATTATTTCCAAACAATGGGTGACATTAATTTCATTGTCACATTGATAAAAAAAAAAAAAAAATTAGGCCTAAATAAATTTATTTTTGTTGCTAATTTGATAAGAAATATATAGACAACAATCTCAATTGCTTCAGGCGATGTCGTTCTTTCCAAAAAGCAAAACAGAGTATATCAGCAGAACATGTGGAAAATATTTAGAATGACATATCGTTGCAGCAAATAGTCCGATTTCAATGATTCTTTTTTTTGAAATTTTGTAAACTTTTAAATGACCACATACAATCACAAAAAAGTTAATACTCTTTTGAGTTTTTTCAAAATCTAATTTTACCATCCCTCGTATCTATTTTCCAGCTTATTTTCATTGAAGTATGTTATATATAGAAATATTTGTAATCAAATGTAACCTTCTTTAAGGTTAGATTTACATTGTAAAGGTTTACATTTGGAATGAAAAAGTTACATGTGATGTAAAAAGTTATATTTGAAGCGTAAAAGGTCAAGGTTATATTTAAAATTTGTCATGGAGCGATCTCACATTTTTAATAAATACTTTAGATAGGAAATACAGAGATATTGCAATTGTATTGTTTTCAGGGTGATCATTTTGAATATATTTCTTCTATGTTTTTACATTATTAAGTGTGTAGTTGGAAGACAATGGCTATATTTGTATTTTATTTTTAGAATTGATTTATAATATGTTTATTGTTTTCCTTCTTATTTATTTAATTTTTATTTTAGAAAGAGTTAACAATTAGTTTCTCTCTTTATACTAACCTTATTATTTGATGCTAAACCAGTAGAATAGAGTTCAATAATGCTTGGCCACTGTTGTCAGTTAACTTAGCACCTGTATAGCATTGTTAAGACACTTATAGAAATATTATTTTAGGAGTGTTGCCCTTAGAGAAGAGAGAGACATCAGTGGTTCTCTAATACCAAACATACCTCCTCTTGCTAATACTAACTCTGGTATGTGTGATATATTTTGTTATTATCGCTATGTCTTGCTTACTTTTTTATTTTTTTTAATATTGTTTATATATTTACAATCATGTAGTTTTTTGTGATTTTTTTTAAAATACTGTATTAGAACAGTAGACTCCTAATAATTGCTTGCACGCCCAGTCTAAGTGGGTATTCTTAATTAAGGGGAAAACCTAGCTGTTGAACGTAATCTTGGCCTGATCACCTCCTTCCATGACAGTTGGCTTTGAAACAGCACTTTGTTACAAAAAAATAAATAAATTCTAAAATTACAATCTACATTTCGTTTTTTAAAAACAGTTTTAACTGATACCTTTAATAAATAAAATACAAATTTTAATTATGAAAGTGTCCGATTCTGGAGAAAATTTATTATATCTCAGTTGCTCAATGTTATAAAATGTTTAGAGCTTTATGACTAAATATTTTTATATGTTTTTTAGTAATCGAAAATATTTTAAAGTATTTATTAAAATTAAAGGGGCTAGGTTAGCTGCGCCGACTAAGGCGCTTGCAATAGGTTATCAAAGTTAAGCAACGCCGAGCGTGGTTAGCACTTGGATGGGTGACCTCCCAATTTCGGTAACCGTCCACCAGGGAAAGCCACGCTGCCCACGATATCTCTCTCCCCTCCCCCCCCAGTATGTGAGGCCTGTCAGCCTACTGTAGGCAACTCACACCGACCAGGCGTAGGACTGATGACCCTACCACCGTGTACTTAAATCAGGAATTGGGGACCACATCTTGCTGTCAAAGATCTTAATGGTCTGTATCACCAAACGAAAATAAATAGCTAATAATGATAATAATAATGGCTCAAATTTTTCACTGAGATCCCATGAATGTTTTGAAAGAATTAGAACTCAAAATCTTAAAAAAAAAAAATTAACTATATTTTATATATTCGCAATTTTTTGTTAGCCTCATATTGTATCTTGTATGATCGATTCATTTTTAGATTGTGAATTTATTTCACAAAATTTTAATTCTAGTGTTTAATGTGTTCACTGAGATACAAAAAATATGTTCACTAAAATAAGAGTTACTAGTCCAGAGCTTTATTCATAAAGCATAATTAAAAATTTAATTTTTTTATTTTAATTTTAGGTACTCTTCATCAAGCCAAACATAACAGCAGTTCTCCAATTTCACAATCTTTCTTATCAACGTCACATTTGAATTCCAATGGCCCTTCAATGTTAAGTAAGTATTAGTAATAATAATTTAGATAAAATATTTTTTTCTTCCAAAAGATTCTCTCTCTATTTTACAGGAAATAAAACTGTATGACTATTACATAAATAGTCTTTATTAATTTATTTAATTGTAATTATATTCATGCCAGTGAGCCAACCTAATGGAGTAGCCGTCAACCAGACTACTGCAATGGCACTCAGTTCTAGCCAGGCTTTAGTGACTCCCAGAAGAACCAACACGAGTGTTACCATTATTAACCACAATAATAATGCTGCGATCGTTGCTGCTTCTCAGGTAATTTAATTTTTATTTTTTTTTTAATTTACAGCCATATAAATATATATGCAGTTATAATAAATAATTATAATAATAGGCTTAGCAAAGCCGAAGGTTCAATGCCAACACCGCTAATCTGTCTACACACTTCCCTCCATCAGTCGCCGACCAAATCCAGCTCTGCCAGATCACTGTTAACATAATCTTTCTACCTTCACTTAGGTCTACTCCTCAGAGGTTTAGGAATACTCTATGCTGTTCTTAATTTTCAAAAACCTTCAGATTTTTTTTTTTTTTGGCTTTAAGACTTGTAAAAGCAAGTCCTATTTTTCCAGCAAAATATTTTATTTGTCATAGTGAGACGGAAATTACACTGGATTTATATTAATTATTTACAGTTAAATGATAACTTATGGGACTTGGATATTAGTTATCATATTATTAGATATTAGATATTATGGAAAATAGATATTAGATTTTATGGAAATTAGCAAGACTAATGGTTAAAAACTGAGATGAATTAGAATTACAATTAACTGAGAATAAGTGCCGACTTTTATTATATGATTGCTTTGATGTCATTCATGAACTTTAACAAATCACGGGTGTTATCTTTGTTCATCGACCGAAGAAAGTTAGCTCCATCATCCATAGTTTGCGACCCTAAACTAATTCTTCTTCGCTTTTCGAACCTTTTGCACTTGAAGGCAATGTGTCTTGGATCCTCAAAGCATTGGCAAGTTGGGTAGTGACCACTCTTAGCTAGACCCATTAGATGAAGATATTTATTTGTTCTACCGTGGTTTATCCTAAGCCTGGTCAGCTTTACTAAGCTGGAGCGGTCGAGATGAGATTTAAGGGTCGCAAACCATGCTTAAGATGTTACTCTTCCCTTAATGTAAGTGGCTACGTATTGCATCCATAAACAACCGTAGTTAGGATTGTTTATGATTTTTAAGTTTCGGAAAAAATGTAAAATTCATTTTAAAAAAAATTTAATTACATTTTTTTTAATGTTAATTGTTTAAATTAATCTTTTTTTATTTACAAAGTATTTTTTGAAAACAGCATTTTCTAATTTATTTATTTCTTCAAATTCACTCCATCTTGTCCCATTTTTTGAAAATAGTATGCAATGATGAAGCCTTGTGTACCATGGCTTTTTTATTCAAATTAGTGTGTGGAACTCTTTAATTTAATCATTTTTTTTAATTGTATTATTTACATTTTTTATTTTATTTTTCTAAGAATTATTGACAATTTTTCTATCTCCTCCTCTCTTATACTCTACATTGCAAACTTTCTATCCATCCGTCTTCATGACCCTTCATCTAACATAATTACATGAACATTCATCAACTTCACATATATCTACGATTTGAAATTATCATTACAATAATCTATTTTTTTATTCTTTTCAATCTTAAATATTAGTGAATGGTTACTATAATTGGAAATTTAAAAGAAAAATGTATTCCTGAGATGGTTTCATGATTGTTAAAGCAAAAGAACTGAGACGAAACTTGGATCCATACCGTTTAAGCTAACAACCTTTCAATTCATAAAAACGTGTTAACAACTAGGATTCTTTTTCTATCTCGCTTCTTCTTAACACTCTAAGACATCATATTTTAGCAACTATGTCACCCCATTCATTCTATGTCTAATACTTATATTTTTCCATTACATTTCTTTGTTGATTAATTTTTTTATTCCTTTTGTTACCTTATTTAATTTTGTTTATTTCATTCATTTTGTCATTTCATATGTCCTCATCATATATTATTCCATTATTCCCAACTTTGTTGCCATTATTATTTATTTAATAAGTTTCTCTCTGTTACTGGTATTAATTTTTTTCATAAGGTAATAGTTTCTCATATTGTTATCTGGTCGTTTCTTAGCCCTGATGAAGGCCTGAATTTCGGGCTGATACATCGGCAAATATAAAAATAAATATCATTTATTTATTTTTAATTTGTGTGTTTTTTTTACTGAACACCCCAACCAACTTCTCTTCAATTATTCTCTACAGTCAACCATAAATCCACTATTAGAATTAGTTATATATATTTATATTTATTTGCTAACCACTAATTTGTGAAATAATTGTTTGTAGAGAATTAGCGTATTTGAACCTTATCCGATGAGGGACACTGTTCAACATTTTTGTGAAAAACATCTTGACAAAATTAAGTCATACATGGAGAAAGTCTCAGTCAGAATACCACTCCCAGCAAAATGTACCATTGAAGGTATGGTATATTTTAGTGTTATTAATTTTTATGTTTTTAAATTGGTTATGCTTTATTGGGATGTAGTTTCTGTATCCTAAACTTTATTCAAGTTCTACTTTATTTTTATCTTATAAATCACCACCCTTCTTGCTAGAATGGTTTGACCCATAATTATCTTTTTACAGAAAGGAAAGCAAAGAAGATGGCCAAATTGCAGTTCGGCTGCGATGGGCGTGGTGAACATTGTCTTTATTCTAGAACTCTTTTTACGATGAGGAGTCGTAATCCTAGGGTCTGGATACATTTTATGTTTCTGGCTTTACAGGTAACACTCATTAGTTAAAAAAAGCAAAAAATGACATAAGTAATCTCATTGTTTCATCAAAAGTTTTCTGCTATAATTTAATAGAATTCTAAATTCAATTGAACTACTGAATTTCTTTCCCATGTTTGGTTTTTTAAATTTTTTTTCCAAATTTTATTTATCAAAATAGACAACTAATAAAACTCTGCATTTGTCTTTGCCAAGTAGAAGTTAATATTTTTAAGCTTTATTGATGTCAACAACAGTATTTGAACGCAATAATGGATTTGCATAAATTACAGCAGTCATTTTTTACTTTCTGCTCTTGAGAAATAAAAAAAAAAAGTAGTTTATTTTATTTTTCATTAGTGAAAACAATCCATAGTAACAAGTGATAATATTATTAGAATTTATTAAATCGAGTTGACAAATAGTATCTAAGGTAGGTGACATTATCAAAACATTATTGTGTTTATTTTTCTTTTCAATTAACTTAAATAGTGGTATTTAATTTTTTTCTCTTAATTTTGTTCAGAAAGCAGAAAATGACAGCTGTAATTTATTCAATACCATCATTGCATTCATTTTTTTAGCGTCTTTTCCATTACTAAACAAATGCTTAATATATTGTTTTGTTTAGTTTTTCTTATCTGTAGCTTGTCATTCTTTTTATTTTAGTTTTAAGTTAATCTAATTTTTATGTTGAAAATCCAAAAGCTTATTTTTTAACATGCTATTTTTGCTTAAAACTTAAGCAAAAATACTTACTAATTCAAAAGTTTATTATTAAGTAATTATTTTTAGAATGCTTAAAATTTGTATTTTCTATTCTTATCCAACAGGTCCTTTTCGTACTGCAGACTTTATTTAATATATTAATCATTATAATTTTCACATTGATATTTTAAAAATAAATTTTCATAATTTCATTCTTTTTTTAAAGTAACCTATTAAACAAAATTTTGTTAACTTTATTACAATAAAATTTCAGTTTCATACAAAATTAACAAACATAATTTTAAAATATCATCTACCTTTACTCTAATAAATGTCATCTTCTTACCAAACTTTATATGAAATTACCAAATATTAATAAATTAAACTATAACTTAAATTTTTACTAAACAATATTATGTTTCTTTGTAGGCGAAGTCGCAGAGCGCTCTTAGTTCTCGACATTCTGCAGTTACAGCTTTAAAGTACTGCTGGGACATCTTGAAATGCGAAAATAAACCTTTTGTGACTCTGGTAACTTCTGCATTTCCTTGTGCTAAGGTAAGACCCATGAATATGAATACAAGTTTTAGTTCTATTATTGTAAAATCGACGGCCTAAGCTGATGTGATTATTGATAATTAAATTATTTTTATTTAATTTTTAAATTATTTTTGATGTTTTAATATTTAAATGTTATCCTTCACAACCAGTTGCATTGCATATTAATTGATTCCTGTTATTGATTTAAATGTATTTTAAGCACTTATTAAATGCAAACACACATATTTAAAATTCTTATTATGTACTAGCATAAAGGCGACTGCTCGCGGTTGACCACTGCTTTAGTGGAATAGAAAGGAACCTATTTCGCTGGCACTGCTCTGCAGTCTAGGTATGACGTCATATCTAAGCTGCTCCTATCTGACCGCTCCTGAAGCAGTGGAGCTGTTGGCGGTTCGGCGGTTGTAGGTTATGTTATCATATCAGAGCATTGTTTTGATGATAACAGTCACGTCGATACGTTTTATTTCCTATGTTTCTTTCAAGTGTGGCAAAATTATAACAAATATTGTTTAAAACTGAAACAATGCAATATTAAATTATTTTTTTAAGGTTGAAGTAACAAGATTATTTATTTATTTATTCCACCAGCAATATTTTACAGTGAAATACAAATATACCTAAATCCAAACGATATTAAATGAATTAAAGAATCCACCCATTGAAAAATCTATTTTTATTTTTTAATTAAAGTGGTGATTTACTGATTACTATTGATAAAACTATAAAACATCGCCTGCTGGGATTTAATTACAAATATATGATATTTATTACTAATCAATTATGTATTAATTACTATTACTTTGCAAACCAATAATATCTAATATCAGAGGGACTTTGATGATGAGCATCACATCGAAATACTGATATTCCTTCTCTTTATGAACAACATTTTCTCTTCTTTTTCCAACTCAAATAAAAAAGCGGTAGTCAGAGATGTTCATTTTTATTATTATATTATGTCCATCTTTTTATCTTCGAAGATACAGCGAAATGTTCGAAGGCTATAGCCAGGTTATAACAACCCCAATGAGCAGTTTCAGCGAAATAGCTACCTCAACAGCGGTTGGCAGCGTGGAATAGTGGTCGCTGTCGTGGACCGCGCCAGCGAAATAGTACCTTTACCTGGCCAAATGTTGCGGTGGCTCAGTCTGGCAAAATGGAATAGAAAGAAAATAGAAAGCACATATGAGTGAATTAATACCAAAGGACATCTGTCATTTTTAAAAAGTTGAGAAACAAATTTTTCTTTTATAAAGGTTCAATTTAAACTAATTCTAATGATTTTTTTTTTCATGATTCAACTTGAACATTCTTAATCATCAGAGTGAATACACCGTCATTCTTAATCATCAGAAACAGTATGAGTTGAACATATAAAGATTTTCAAATATCAATTAGAGCTGCCATCCACCTCCCTCAAAAGATTTTGCATACCCCTCCTAAGATATTTGATTGCTTGCTTCTTCTTAATAACAACTTGATTAAATATGAAAATTGTAGTGGAAGAATAAACCTTACTCATGAAAGAAACCCTATGGTAAACGGCACAACCTTATTCCAACGTAATATTAAAGATAATAATTTATTAAAAAATAAAATAAACTGAAATAAATAAAAAAATTATTACTAAAAAGAACATAAACAATGATAATTATTACTCAAGAGTTAAATATTTTTAAATAATATTTGAAGAACTTTCGGAGAATGACGGTTTTGAACAAAAAAACATTTACATTTTTTTTTTTTTTTACGCATATAAAATTATCTTACGACAGAAGTACTATGTCAGAAACCTTCGAGGAAGTACGCAAAAACTTCCCAAAGTTTCATATCAATCGGATGAATGATTTAGTAATGCATAAAGGACAAATAGACAGACGGACATACATTCATTGTGTGGGCGGTGTGTGTGCACAGCACCGCCGTTGCCCGGCAACCTTATATATGAGACAATGATAAAATATAGTCATGAGCTCATGTCCTGGTGCCACGGGAGTCTTTTAAATCCCCACCCACACTCCCTGGCCTGGGAAAACCCCGTATAGTCTTATAGACGAGGAAGGGGAGGACAAAAAAAATATTATAAAAAGTATTGTTGTTTTAAAAGTTATCACATATTACAATATGTTATATATTATTTCTCAAATATATATCCCTTTTCCAGCTCTCATGTGTGATGGATTTTGACGAATGAGGTATCAATAGAAAGTGAATATCACGTAGAGTGCGCGAATTGTAATTTTATATGACCAGACTACCAAACTAGTCCTTTTCGGTTAATAGCGGGACCTTTCTTATCTTTTTTTTTTTTTTGTCCTCCCTTTCCTCACCTTTAAGGCTATACGTGGGTTTTCCCGGGACAGGGAGTGTGGGCGGGGATTTAAAAACTCCTTTCAGTTGAGATCGGGACCTTACCAGATGGTTTGGTCGCTTCGGTCTACTTTCAGACTGATTCCCCCATTCTTGGAATTTTGTTTACAGTGTGATCTTGAGATCTTGTTCTTTCCGTCGAAGTGGAGATACCTTGATTTACTTTCTCTGTTTTCTCTTTTAATTGTAACTATTTCCATAATTTTAAGGATCAAGAAGCTGTACTGAACGAGCTCAGGTCTGCTGGCTTTTGCGATGTCTTCGAATACTCAGCCAACGAAGATGGTAGGGGTGGTACTTGGGGCTGTTTCCTTTGTAACCACCCGGAGCGAGCAATAGGATTTTTACATCACTCGGAACCCGTTATTGAAGGTCAGCTTAAAGAGAAAAGAGGGAGGTGGAGAATGTTTAGAAGGTGGAGGACAAGATACTTTACACTATCTGGTGCGCGATTGGAATACAAAGGAACTGTAAGTCTAATAATATTTTAAAGTATATATTTGTTATAATCTTTTTTAACTTTAGTTTTGTGAGGTATTGATGTTTTATACACCTTAAAGTTTTTTTGTATTTATTAACGTGTTCTTTTTTTTTTTTATTAACACATTTTTGTATTATTATATTTTAGGTATGAGTAATTTTTTTTCCTTTATCTCTGCTTATCAGCTGTTTTTTTATAAATTTCAACTCCTTTTTCCTTCAGTGAATATTTGGATAGCTTGGTTAGATGTCAATAGCAATGTTTTTTCTCTGCATATATGTGATCTTGTTTTTTCTGCCCTTATGTTGCCTGCATTGGTAACATGTTGTAAAAGTTAACTGTTAATCTGTACATTAGAGACTCATAGCTTTATAGTTCGGATTATTATATTTTTAAACTCATAGAAATTCTATTCTCTATTGTTAAATTTCAGAACATGCTTATTCATCTATTGTAATCAGAATAAAAAAAGACTTCATAATAACTGTTTGATAATATTAAGATAGTACAGTAAATCCTTGGGACAACTAACTCCTCATTAAAGCGAACCAGAACCGGAACCTCTAGAAAAATGCAAAATTTTTAAATAAACAGAAGGATGGTTGTAGTGATCAGTCAAAATAAAAAATTGTAAAAATAAATAATTATATTTATTTTTACATTTGCCCATTTATAAATAATTTTATATTTTGTGTAACAGGCATCAGTAGACAAAACCCTACATAATAAAAAAAGAAGCAACAAAATCGGACCTCTACTTTACGAGATAATCTTGGCACAGACAGACAGACCAATGGCTGAAAACCGCTTGTTAGAAATTTGGCCTGATCGCAATACTTTCCTTACCTAGTACAGGTAGGAAAGTAAAAAACAGTAGAAGAAAAATAAAATAAAATCAGGAAGAATAACACAATTCAAAAGTCAACATTTTTTACCACAATAAAAAATAATATAATTGAGATGTATTTTGACTAGTAATGGTTTTAATAAATAAAGTGTTGTATGTATTTGGTTTTGTTTTAAAAAGTAATCTATACTATTAATCTACTTATTTATCTTTTTATCTGGATATTTCAAACATCATTGTAACAAACTAAAGATTTTCTGGTTCCTTTGAGTTCATTGTAACAAAGCTTTACTATATTTAGTTATTAGTAGATAACTTTTTTTCTGATTTTGTGACTTTCATTGTTTTAATTGTTGGAGAAAAACATATATTTTCCTTAATGTGTTAAGATATCTAGATTTGAATTAAACATGTGTAGCCATTGTCATATAGATTTTTTATGTACAAAATTAATAACCCTGTAGCCAGGGGCTAAAATAAAAAGTGTACTCATCGCAGGAGATGTTTGAATGTAAATTACGAAAGTGCATGTTACTCTAAGTAAAATGAATCTTTTTTGTCATTTCAATGCCACATTTTTTAAAAATGGCAGGTGATTTGAAGAATATTGGGCCTAAGAAGGGAATGCAATTGACTTACATTAAAAATATTTGTACTCAGTGTATACCATATATATATTTGATGCCCTAAATCTTTTATTCCACAATATTTTCTCTTAGATAACTCATTTCCAAGCTGCCGAGCCATTTTTATAAATTTGTCCCAATTTTTGACAAGTTTGGTAAAAAAAATCAGCATTTTTTTACCACAGTTTTCCATCACACCGCTTAACCAAATTTTTAAGTGAAAGTACTCACTCAATGGACAATTTAACCTTTTTTTAATTTCTTAAAGATCAAGTTTTTCAGTTCGATGTACCATTCAGGACTTATAGGTGAAATAATTAAAAATATCTAAGCAATCTAGCTTTTTTGGCTGTTAAAAGTTTCCCTTGTTGGTCTGTGTTATTAATTTTGGTTTTTACATGTTTGAACCCATATATGCAAGTTAAAAAAATAATAAAATTTCCCATTTTGATTCTCTGGTAACTGGCCTGATATTTTTTAAACCAATGGCTGTGGAATAGCAGCCAAGGTTTATTCAACTTAAAATAACATACACCTTCATAATTTATATTCAAACCTTCTCCTGCAATGATGTCCCTTTTTAGCCCTTGGCTTCAGGGTTATAAGTTCATATACCAATTTTAATCTGATATATAGTTGTATTATAATTTATCGAATATTTTTATTTGATTTAACTATTCTTCTTCAGAAGGATGACAAAGAAGGGCGACCTATCGACGTCCACCAGATAAGAAGTGTCAAAGTATCACGAGGAGCTAGGAACATACCTAAAGCATTTGAAATCTTCACTGGGGACCACTCTCTTATATTGAAACCAAAAGGTGGTAAAAATGCTGAGGAATGGGTGCAGTGCCTCTCAGTGGTGGTCGCACATTCTCAATCTCGAGAAGTGCCCAACAGAAGTTCAAGCCTCGTTCGAACACCAGTTTAAATATTTCACTTTCACAAAGTATGAAATCATTTGAATTTACCACATTTATTTTTTTTCATACCAATTCAAGACTAGTCTCAAATCTTCCCTGAAAGATAGTTATTCAAAGACTTCTGATTCTTCTAATTAAAAACAAAAAAAATCTTCCAAACCACTAAATGGTTACATGGTTATATTTACCTGTTCATATAAAACATATTTTAAAAATTTTTATTCTTAAAGTAAAATTATTTTCTTAATATTTTATTCAAAAGTATCAGACTGTATCTTTGAAGAATTTTTAAATACAATTATTTTTCATGAATTTAACGTTCATTTTCTATTTAGATGATGCTTATCCCCTTAATTTAAAGGGAATAACTGTTAAAATAAACAATTATTTTGTAAATATTCATATTTTTTTGTATAAAACAATAAATATTATATGAAAATATAATTGTAAATATTTTATAAATGGTTGCCATACTGTGAATTTTATATTTTTTTATTAAAAGGAAAAATTATTTTAAAAAAAAAAAAAGAAAAAATCGTTATATGAGGACTTGTTATATATATTTTTTTTTTCTTAAATCTGCTTCTAGCTTTTAGCCTAACTTTAAATTCATAATATGTATTAATATTTGCAGTCAAACTTTTTTTTTTCAATTGGAAAGTTCTATAAAAAAAAAAATAATAATTTAATGAACAGAAATTTTAATTTATAGCAAAGGCAATTTTTCGTGACTTCCATATATCAACAAGCACAATACAAAAATTGTAAGAATAATTATATTGGAAATTATAGTTTTTTATCTTTTTTATTCAATCTTGGCTTTGCATTCTATGCTTTTCTATATTACAAATTGTAACATTTATTCATCCAATAAAAAATTAACAGAAAATCAAGTAATTTTTTTTCATGTTTCGAATATTTTTAGTTTTTGTTACTGTTGATATACTTTTTATATGTTTGGAACATTTACACTTAATTTTTTAGGGTTGTACAATGTTTTATATTGTTAAAAGAGAAAGTAAACTAACAGAGAGCTGCAGTTTTCTGCCTTTCAAATCTTTAAAATGTTTACTTATATCATGCACATGTGCTAATAATAATATTATACTTATGAGGTGATTAGTTTCAAAACTGGTTTAATATGAATTTTTTAAAAATAATCTTAAAAATTCAAAAGAAAATGGCTGGTTAGTAGTTTTATGAAAAAAAAATTGTCCATTGCTGTTAGACGATGTTTTTTATTTTAATTATTTTTCAAGTAATGGAATAATTTAAACCATAATAAAAATAAAAAGTAATGTATTTAATGTATTTTGGTTGGTTTCAGAGTTCTGATTGAAATTATTTGATCATTTCCTTTTTAACTTATTGTTTCAATGTTTTTATTTTCTTCTTTAGGTTGGAAGTTCTAGGTTATTAATTTTGAGATTGGAAAAGATAATTCCTTTGGAACAAGTAATTGGTATATTTGTCACATATCATTTCACGTTAACGTTCCGGGATTGTTTTTCCATCATCAGAACTTCTTGTCGTATTTTATTACAATTCAATTTCTATTAGATATATGTGCTCCTTTGTCGGTGTTATATTTTTCATTTTTTAACATAAATATTATCTGGGACAACACATTTTTTGCCTAATTATGGATTTCCTTTATGAAATAATTTTTAATTTTTCAAAGTTCTTAATGTACTATACCATCTACAGACGCATTTTCCTAGTGGCATACTAGTAAAACATAAATCATAGAAGTTAATACAGAGCAGATTAGTTCAATGGAGAACTTTTGAGTTGCTTTCCTTCAAACTGAACTACCAGTTCAATCACCATTGTTTCAGGAGCAGTCTATTTGGTTTCGGTTGTGGGGTAGTTCAGATTCCAGGTGCTTCAAAGTTTATTAAATCTGTATGAACCATTGATAATTGTTCTTGTACTACTATATATTTTTGTTATACTATACAACTGTAATATAATATTGGATCTAAACTAATATTTGCACTTATGTCTGTAATTATGAATTGGCAAATCAGATCGAGAATAAACAAGAACTGTTGTGTAAATCTTAAATACTGCTTAATCTTTGACTATGAGACCTCATATTGAGTGTTTCTTCCCAATGGGAGGTCTCGAAAACCAAAAAGACTTTCGGAAAAACGGAGTTTTTTTCCTTTAAATTTGCTTAGTATATTATTTTGAGTCACCTTGAAAGATATAATAGAGAGAGAATCAGTTTATTATCATAAAATAAAATGGTGCTGCCCAATTAGATAGGGTTGCTAACAACACAGCATACTTATTAATCACTACAGACATTATCTTTTGTTAATGTTATAACAAGGTTTGGCGAACCCGAAGGTTCGATAGCACATTCGATCATTCGAATTCACACCAATCAATATCCACATTCTTTCATCCACCTGTCTCTGTCTAGACTCAACCCCGCCAGATCAGCCTTAACTCAATCTTCCCACCTTCGCTTTGGTCTACCCCTCGGTCTTTACAGCACATATTAACTTTTTAGGAATTCTATCATTACTAATCTCAGTGATTTTATATTCCCATTTTATTCGCCTCAACTTAATCATCTCAATTATATTAACCGGATACAGTTCATGCAATTCAGCGTTGTGTAATCACCTAAATTCTCCGGCTGACTCGTCCTTTTTCGGTTCGAATATTCTGTGCAATACTTTATTTTCAAAAAATTTTAAGACGTTGCTCATCCCTTAATGTAAACAGCCATGTTTCGCATCCATAAAAAAGATTAGGAAGGATAATGGTTGCAAATTATAATTTTTAAGTTTTGGGACAGGAGGGGAGAACTAAGTAGTTTTGACAAAGAAAAATAGCGAGTATTTCCTGCCTTCAACCTAATCTTAATATTCTCTTCAATTTCATTTTTTATGGTTATCATAGACTCTAGAACTAAAAATCTGTATGTGTTCAAATACATTCCCTTCTATATCTATATTGAAATTGTCACTGTTTTTGCAGGTAACCATATATTTTGTTTTTAACCTTATCCGTATTTATCTTGAGTCCTAGTTCTTTACCGGCTTTCATCAACGTTGTTTTAGTTTTATTGTTTCCATATCTTCGCTTAACAGTACCAAATCATCAGCATACACAAGCACGGATATTGTTCCACCCAGATTCAAAAATTTCTTCGGTATGTATCATCTCTCTAATGGCAAGTTCTAATGCCAAACTATACAGGACAGGTGAAAGAGAATCACCTTGTTTTAAGCCTGAATGAATCTCAAATTTCTCAGATAAATAATAACCGATTCTAACTTTATTGAGTATTTTGTCTAGCGCATCCTAACTAGATTCACTAATTTTTTTTTGGAATCACCTGCTCAATTAGAATATTATACAGCTTTTGGCGGTCCCCTCCGCAGCCAAGGTGTTAAATTTAACCTTGTCATGGACTAAATAGTTTTGAGTTGATAATTGAAAAACTCCTTCACTTTTTCCTGAATAAGAACTTCATTTGGGGATTTCTTTTGTAATTAACAATTAAATAACTGTTAATCATTTCATCATATTTAATATCGATAATAATACAAGTTTCCTTTTCTATAAGAAGTAAACCATTTTTGATCTTTAAACTAACAAATGATAAAGGGACAATGTAACTGTGTATACAGTTCCTAGGAAAACAGTCTACTGACTTAATACACTTGATTTTGAGGTTTTAATGGTGTATGTTCAACTCAATGATCTATATTGTTGTTAGGTAAACGTGCCTTAATCGTATTGAAAAAAAGCATTCAGTTAAAAAATAGTTTCAAAGGACCTAGAGTTTGTTCTTGGTCAAATATTTCACGTCATGTTTTTGGTTAATACTGTAAAAGTTTTGAAAAGGGATGGGTCGGTTTTGAAACCAATCACTTCATATATAGTCCATTAGTTCATAAAAATAAATAAATGGTGATTTATTATTTTTGTAAGTAGAATTCTATATGTACTACGTTTTTTATGGCAAAATTAAAGGTTCCTGATGTAGAGAAGTTTAACTTTCCCTTTATAAACCATTAACTAATTTGGCCTTCGCAGTTTCAACATGATGACTACTGATATTTTCACCTACTGCCTTTTCATATAGTTAATATTTAACTTATAGTTTGTATTTTATCATTTATTTTAATATTGTACTGTTTTATATATGTGATGTTTAAAACTGTAATTCGAAGACTGTACATCATTAAAAGGATAATTTCCAAACTAAATATTAAGTCAAACAATGTTAGGCAAGTTTAAAATAGGCAAATTTCATTGTCAACATTTTAAAAAGAGGATTAAATACCACAATAAATATTAATAATTATGTCATTTAGCCAATTTTTAAGTTTTGGAAGTAGCATTTAATTTGCCCAAAATCTAATTCTATTTTTTTTTTTTGGTTTGGCACTTTCCCTTATATTTATGCCCAGTCCTCAATTTAGGGTCAAGATCTATGATCAAAAAAATATATTATCATATCGTCGGCGCCATGTTAAACTAACGAAAGGGCAAGGCTAGAAAAGTTCTTATTCGTTACTTCAACATAGTGGTGTAGATATATTTCTTTGTTTTTTCTTGAAAACTGAACATGATTTTAGAAAACTTTGATAATTATAAACTCTTAAGTATTTCCGAAAACGTTGCTTTTGACTGTTAATTCATTATTTGTATAAGTATTCCTTGTTTTAATCCTTCTTCCTTCTTTTATTATTTTAAATTATCACCAATAATAATTAAATTAATTTTACCAGTAAGTGTGTTTAGGATGAGTACAGACAGATTGTTTTGAATTCACTTTTTCCTGATTTTATCCTAAAAACCATCTTGTTTTTCTTCTTTTCATTTTTATTATTGTTAATTAAACACTTTAGATTTGTTCCTTTTTTTTTTGTAGAAAATTTACCATATTTGCTGTAGTTTATAGATTTACTCCGAATTTAAGTTGACATCCAAGTTGAATATATGAGAGAGAATTTTTTTTTTTTACTTTAATCATATTTCAAATAATGAAATTGTTTGAATTGGGTACTTCATATAAATTTCATTTTTTTTTTTTTTTTTTTTTTTGCTGTAATTTATGTAATAGCAATAAAGTGAAAAAAGTTCCAATTTTTTAAATGCATTTTTGCAAAGATGCTTAGCTTAAAACAAAAGTGGTGGTGATGGCTGCCAGTGACTATCTCATAAGATTGAGTATCTTTTTAGCTTATAATAGTATTTTCAGTTTTAAAAGTTCAACATTCAAGAAATATCTTTTCGTTTTCTCTCTCACCTGTAATCTCTGAATGTAAATATTTAGTTTAAAACGTATTTATAACCTTTTACAAATGCATTTTTACAAAGTATAACAGAGAGAAGAGGTTTGTATTTTGGCAGTATTGTGTATAAGAGTATGCATCATGCTAGGTTAGATTCATGCCCCACACCCAGTACCCTTTAGTTCAATCTTTAGTTAAATATAAACCTTTTTTTATCGAGTTAAAGCATCGGAAAGAGAAAAACATAGCAT